CATCTAGATGTGTATAAGAGACAGCACACACACACACACACACACACACACACACACACACACACACACATTCACACACGCTCACGCACGCACACACACGCACACACACACGGACGCACACGAGCACATACACACACACGGACACACAGAGCAAGGGGTGTGTGCAGCAGACATAGTGCCTGTCTTCTTCTTCCTGCATAGCACATCCTACCTGATAAATCCCTACAAAACAGGACAAAAAGCATGTTGAACGCATCGCGCTCCTCGTCGCTTGAATGATCGTCTGACTTGGCTCATGCGAGAACTGCACAAGTGACGCCAACCGCAAGAGATATTACCACAGTCATGTATAATTCACACACACGGGGTAGGCAATACAAGCGAATAATCCAATTCATACACAAAAGGAAGGGAGGGGGGGGGAGGGACAAGCGTCCAATTCAATCAAGCATCAAGTTCAACAATAAATAAATAAATAAAATCAAGCATAAAACAATCCAACCGTACCCACAAACCGGCAGACAAAATTTCATTAAAAAAAAAGCAATCATGCTCAGGCACAAAGAGGACAAAACAGACGAAACATTTCACAAGACAAGGAGAGAGGCAGGTTTGTCAGGAATCTGGGTAAGTGGAACCTCACCCCTGGATGGTCCCTCAGTTTTATTATTTTTATCTGGACGATGTTTGTATTAAATACTATTAATTAATATATTAATAATTTTATAGATTTATTTTGTATGTGATATGTCATACGTAAATGGGGACGTAGGTATTGTCATATGTAACAGGTCCCATAATCCCCCATGAAATTGCTATATAATATGACTACTATCATTTAAAATCTGATGCTAATATCCTCAAAACGTGACCTGTAAGCTTTTATACATTGGAATTATCCATCATTGATGCTGACGTCCCGCTTGCACCGATTAAACGACCTCTACCCCCGCCATCATAAATTAGGGGGGAGACTGGTAGCACAGGTCCATGAGGGCTACCGGTAGTACAGTGGGGGGAACTGGCGAAGTGGCAAAACTCGAAAATGCATATCATTACCCCAGCAATTTATTTCTCGGTTCAAATGATTTTTATTTTTTTTTATTTTTCTTTTCCTGTAAAGATCACGACAAAATCTACGGACCCTCAATGTTGGGTCATCCTCCTGATCGCAAAAAATCGCGAAAGTTGGGTTTCTTTTCCCGTTGGCCCATACGTGGTAGAGTAGCAAAAATGGAAAATGTGACGAAAGGGCGCAGCATTTACTTCACGGTCCATTTTATTTTATTTTTTCATTTTTTCCAATTTTTGATATTTTTCCTGGAAAGATCACGGCCTAATCTACAGGATATCAAATTTTCACATTTGTTCGCCAACTTTTCTGAGCGCGAAAAATCGCCAAAGTTCGCTCTTGAAAATTCTTGGACTGGACCCGCCTGCGCCTGCCGGTCGCCGCCCCCCCTAAGAACCCGGTCCGTAAGGCCGGGAAAGTCCCTTTTAGGCCGGCGGGGATAGTGGTGGTTTAAGAGATAGTGGCCGGAGATAACGAAGATCGACTGCCAGATCTCGGGTCACTTGCCCGAGACCACTTGCTCGTCTACGTGGTGTAGCCCTTTCCTCTCATGTCTATCAGGATTCTAACTCAGGATCTGTTTGACAACAGTTATCTGTGTACACTATCGATGAGACAACTGCTTTCTTTTTTTTTTTTTTACATAATCCAGGTCTTCATTTCCATGGACGATTGACTGTCAGCTTGCCTTCCTTCCGTAGAAGGAAGTGTTGGTGTTCATTTGATGTATCCATATGACTTGCCCGGAGAAAAGGAGCCGAACTGACGCTCCCAAGAAAATGAACACGGTGCCAGGACCATACGGGCCCGTTTAAAGCACCAGTACCTTTCCTCCCTTGAAAGAGACAAATACGCGGCCATATACAGCCGCAACTTTTGGGGGTCGGGGTACCAGGCCGAAAAGACTGGCGGCCCCAGCCAAAATGAGGCCCGCGTCGATTCGTGTCGTTTTGGCGCACAGGGCATTTTCAGGGTCGGCTTCAATCGAGGGGCAGGCTGCTGCTTGGCAAGCAGTGCTTTTCCGTCGCCTCTTCAGAAAAAGGATCGGAGGTAGTTGTGGATGAAGTACCACAAAAAAAAAAAAGGGAGAAAGAAAAGGAAAAAAAAAAAAAAAAGAGAGAGACTCAATTCGACTCCTTAAGAGTCCATAGACTCCATATGCATTCTACGGAGACTCAATTCGGTTCCTTTTCCCCCAGCAAGTCAAGAGAGGTTACAGCATTCTACTCAGAATATACTCACACAAGTTTCTTCACCACAATACAACGTACAGTCATTATAGTCTGTATTTGGGGCACCTTTCCGTCTGAATACAGTGATAATGACCGTACATTGTATTCGGGTGAAGAAGGTAGGCCCTCACAACCGCAGAATCGCAAAATGAGCGGCCAGATCTAGTCCTCCCCTTTAGAAGGACTCGATCTAGCCGCCCATTTTGCGACTCTGCGATTTTGAGGGCCTAGTGTGAGTATGCCCTCACTGATGCTTCCTTTCATTCGCGGCCGACAAAAAGCTCTGGACGCCATTGCAGTCAGGTTCATCCAGGTCTGGCCGTAATTGTAGTCAGATACATTATGGAAAGTACTACTGTGAGAGTATACTCACAGTAGGCCCTCAAAATCACAAAATTGCAAAAGCAGCCGCCAGATCGAGCACTTCTTTTACAAAGGACTAGATCTGGCCGCTGATTTTGCGATTCTGCCATTTCTACGGCCTCCCGTGAGTATGCCCTGAGTATGCCTTCAGATTCCTCCCCCCCCTTTTTTTTTCTTTTTTTTTTTTAAGATTCTATAGCAAGCAACATGGAGCTCAATAGATCCATTGTATCCCTTTTTCAAATAAAATAAATAAAATAAAACATTTTAGATTCCCCGTATCTGACCATAGGATCCGGAGTAGATTATGAAGATCGATGCGGCCAGGGACGAGGAATCCTGGCAAGTGGGGCGTTTGCCTCAGGACGCCAATTTTTTTATTTTTTTTTTTTTTCCCTTTGCCAGCCCACCATGCAATGTTTCTCTGCGGACCAAAAAAATGCATGACGGCAACAACTGATGTGAATGCATCTGATCAGTTTAGCAGGTGGCGCGGTTTGAGTGCACCCCTTACTCGCCTTCCCAAAGTTGAGTGCCACAAACGTCAAGGTTCTATCCACATGATGGCGACAACTGATGCGAATGCATCTCATCAGATTATCCGCCAGATGCAGACAGTGCGGTTTGTGTGCACCCCCCCTCCCTTACCCACCTTCCCAAAGTTGAATAGAACGGAATGTGAATGCATCTGATCAGTTTATCAGCCAGATGCCGAGACAGAGCGGTTTGTGTGCACCCCCCCTTCTTACCCACCTTCCCGAAGTTGAGTGCCACGGACGGCACAAACGTCAAGGCCAGATAGAACGGAATGTGAATGCATCTGTTCAGTTTATCAGCCAGATGCAGAGACAGAGC